TTCTGGTTCAATCTTTATGATTGACTCAGACGTTTCTGGCTCAATCTGTATGATTGACTCAGAAGTTTTGACTGGTCTTACCCCGTATCTTAGTTCATCGTTGGAAATTCTATTGGCAGCATGCTGCAAACCTAACTCGATCGCGTACCACAAGTACGCGCCCAGTCTCGTACATCGCTTTCCCTTAGGATTTTTGTTAAGGCGCATGAGACTTTTTCTAATACAATTATATTTTAAACAGACATTTTCTAAAGTTATAGTCGTGTTCGTTGTAACCCTTAATTCGTCGGCTAACATTTTCCCATCTTTTTGCCAATTTACATATTTGTTTTTTAGACCCCAGCACTGCGGATATTTTTTTAAAGCCTCACTAAATAAGACATCAGAGATAAACGGCATACTTAAATAATATTATAATATAATAAGTAAGATGTAATTAATTTAAGGAAATGTAAGAATATATATCCTGAAAAAGAAGAAAAAAAAAAACATTGATTGGACTGAATTTGAAACTAGATAAGAATTTGTATACTTTATGTGGGTTTTGAAGCTTGCCTCTGGGCGTTACAAACCTTTTGGAAAAAAAATGATCCTATAACACATTATAACATTAAATAGAATTGTCTGATTTTTTCCATTTTTATACAGATGCACTGCTTATAGAATACACGCCCACTATTTCATAGATGTAAGTGGTGTGGTTTATGGGTAAAGAGGAAAATACCAATATTTTATTACTATTTAACAACAGAGATGCCACGAGTTTAAGTAGTACTGCAGGTGTATCCTTTGACCAATTTAGCCCATTTTCAATGCCAGCCTGCGTGCGAGTACTTCCAATGTTTGTGCCAAATTTGTCTCGGATAAGTTTCAAAAGATGATAATCAATATATGGAATTAAAGAGCTTTTAAAACTAGTTGATGACTTTTTGGTCTACCCTGTATGTTAACGTTTACAACATTGACTACAGGACGTTGGAAACAAACCAACTATTAAATTTAGTAATAGCATGGGGTGTTTACATGTGTAAACTTTTTTTCCTTTTTAGTTCACCAAACTATTAACTGAACTTCGAGGAAACATACAAATTGAGTTGAGTGGTTATATCAAATAAATATGTAATTTGGCGTATGCTTCATTCATACTGGTGCTTAAAATATATATTCAATATACAATTACGTAACAAAATGATAACGTTTCCATCAATTTAAATATTCCGAACTGTAAGAAATAGCTAACTATTAAAAAATCTTTTAAAACTTTTAATTTTTGCTTACATTTTTCTTTGCTTGATTGTCCTATTTATACGCTAAAGAAACTCTTAGCATATGGCCTACCGAAACTACTGTTAGTTCCTGCGTCCTTTCATCAGCCTACAATGTCTTTGTAATGAATATAAATTTACGGATAAAAAATTGAAACTTGTACATTCTTAACGTGGTATGATCTGCGCATCGTCACGTTCACTGAATATCCAAAATGGACCGATCTAAAGTTAAAGTGAAACAGTTTATAGGACCATCTAGGATGATAAAATATTAGGAAACTTTTCGGAATTTTGAAAACTTGTTTGATAAGGCGAAAGTAAAAAATTACTGGAAGAAAATGCATTTACCCATTTCTCGGCTAAAATTTCATCAACTTTAAAAAGGGTGAATACTTATTAATGACGTTTTCGATATGCTGAAAAATGAAAAAAACGAAGTTGCTTTTTTAAATTCAATTTATTAAATTTATATTTTTTACATCTTTTTACAATAGTTTTAAATTATAACTAATAATTTTAAATTACAACTAAATTAAATATAAATTTTAAATTCATATTAACTATAAACTAAATGATATTGGCTGCATTCTTTGTTTTTATTTTTATTTTTTTTATTAATTTTTAAACACAGGTTGATGAAAGCTCTACAAAACAGTTCTGCTTTCAAAGGAACACTTCAGAACTACCATCAACCTCCGAATGTTCCCTTTAAAGCAAACGATTTAAAGTCTAATTTTAAATCAAGATTTATTTCTTGTTTACTTTTTTCCAAACTATAATTAATTTGGTTTCTTATGGGCTAATGTTTTTAAGAATCACATGCTCATTGCTATTGTTTCGATATTTTCAATAATGCGTAACAAAGTGACATGTGTTCAAAATTCATTATAATTCTTTTGTAAAAAGAAAAACGAAAATTATGTCGTACTTCAACTGGCTGAGTATTACATTGTGAAATGCAATACGACGCCAGGCGCCCCAATTAAAATAATTATTGATTACATTAGCATAATATATCACCTGTAGAATTAAGTATAAATATCTTTACCAGAAATAAAAAAAGCCAATTGTTATCACAGCAATTCACACAATTCAAGTTAAACAATACCACAACTACATTCAATATTGAACCACACAACACAAAAAAGCACTATCACAGGTTTCAAGGACAAAATTTTACACATAATAGCAGATCTAAATAGTCTTCAAATTAAAGAACTCGGTACCAACCCCACTAACGAACAAAAATCTGTCATTACCAATAACAACGATACATACGTTTTAACCATATTCGAAAACGGCTACGTTAAATCCATTATCTTTGCGGCTCAACCAAAAACCTTTTTAGAAGCAATTAATATTGCGATATTGAAGGTGCGACCCAAACAAATTCATAGGTAATGAGACTAAATTACCAAAAGAAAAACTCACACAATCACCACAACAACAACGAAAACTCCTACACTAACGAAAACAACAGAAATCAATATCACAACAATAATCCCAATAGAAGCAATCAAAGACACAATAATCAAAACAAGAATTATCGCAATAATGATAACAACAATTTTAATAGAAA